ATATAGATATATATTTATAAAACAAATCATACATTAAAACATGGATGCCCAAATCCCAGGAGCCCGTAGCCACTGCTCCTTAGAAATGACAGATGCCTCCTAACTTTTTAGTTTTTCTCTAGTCTAGTCTTTCAATGAAGTTGGAAAAATATCAGTGGCATATTTTTTATCCAAGCTGATGAGTTAGGAAAATTTATTATAATGTTGCATCACATTCTCTAGAAATATATCCCATATGTGCTTTCTCGGAGGTCGTAGTTACCTCTGTTCACTGAGCAATGGACCGTACCTCCGTATGAGCTCTGCCAGTTTGAAAATGTGCAGAAGCCTGAGATTTGTTGCTGTGATTGAGTGATCACAATTGCAGTGCTTTCCAGGCTTGAATGCAAATAAAGAAATGCAAGTTTGTATATATATTATTAATTATGCGTTTCATTTTTGCAAAAGGTGAACTTATCCTTTAATATCTGTACCTTTATGTCGCTATGTATATTATGCTAATTTTGTCTGTGTCTATCGTTTTATGTACAGTTTATTTGTAATTCTACGGAATTGCAATTATTTATATAGCTTGCCAATTGATGTTCAAAAGATATTTCCAGATAATACGAGCAGGCACTGCATTGCCATCCCAGACTGGATTCAGTGTCACTTCATACATATTGATGTTGTAAAAAAAGAAAGAGACCCTTTTGTCCTAACTACTGCAGTCAAATTATTTCTTGTGAATCTTTTTTTTATTTCTCCTTCATGTACCAGAGTAACTTTTGCTGTTGACCTTTAGGAGTATACTTACTAGAAACTCTTTCTGTCCTTTAGCTGTGGACACTTGTACCATTCCCTCTGCCTGATGGGAAAGGACTGTAAGGTCGAAGCTGGTGGACAAAGCCACTGGATCTGTTACCACTGTAATTCAAGCAGTAAAGGTCGGCAAGGTTGCCAGTCAGTGGCTGAAATGAAGAGAGGGAGGACAGCATCTTTAGTTCAGGTAAGAAATGATTTTGGGTATCTGTTTACCTAAAGTGTACCTAAACCCAAAAACAGAAATGTAATACATGGCAGCTTACCAATCCTTAGATGTGCTGGCTGCATTCCTTTTCCTTTTTCTAGGCTTTTTTTTCACCTAGCGATTTGGTCAGTGGCACACTTCCTGTCTTAGCGTGGCTCCATTGTTTCTCCATAAAGTGGAGCCACTATTAAATTATATCCAAACTCTGGCTAAAACTTTTTAAAGCAGTTATAGCAACTGCTTTTTTTCCTTTTGGGATAAAGGTTTTACATGGATAAAAGCTGACAAGCTGTACAGCTTGGTTATTGTTACAGGAAGCTGAAATATAACAGACTTACTGGCTAGATCAACAGGTGAAAATGAAGGAAAAGAAACCCAAGTAAAAGAAAACTAATGCAGCCACCACATTTAAGACTTCGTTCACACAGGGCAATCTGGCATTCTTGCGGCAAGAACCCACAAATTCTTGTGGCAGGAATGCCAGATGACCCAATTCCGATGCGTCCACTGTACCCATTGAAGTAAATGACCGGGTGACCGCAGCCGCATTTGTAAGCGTCATTCTGCATGTAATCGTATATGATACGATTACATGCTTTTTGAAATATATGACTGTCACTGGACGCTCGATAGATGCTGCCACAGGAATCCCAGAATGCCCCGTGTGAATGGGGCCTAGGGATCAGTAAGCTGGAATACACTGAGTGGCCAGATACTCGCTCCATGGCTCCGAGCGCCAACAATCATCCCACGTTCAAAGGCTGTTAAATTGCGTTGTTTACCCATATCTTCAGAAAAAAATCACTTCTACTGTCGTGGTAAACAACCTGCTTCCCTATTTATAATGGTCTGGCCCTCTAGCAACTTCAGCGCGAAATTATATCTAATTATAGCTAATTTGCCTACAAACGTCAGGTGGTCATAAAACTTTGGCCACTCGGTGTATATTAAATTTTTGCTTTAGGATGTAGATACACTTTGATTACTTGTAGTTAGGTCATTAGCACATGTGCCTTCTAGCTTTGAGACTTGGATTCAAATCCCACCTTGGGCATAATCTACATGGATATTTTATTTTATTAACTGGCTGGATCACCAGGTGAAAATGAAGGAAAAGAAACCTGAAAAAAGAAAATGAATGCAGCCACAACATTTAAGGAACTTTAGCCATATCTTCAAAATAACAACAAAGGCACCTTTAGTAATGTTTAGTAATGACAATCTACAATCACATAGTTCTAGATAATTGCAGGCTTTTTATTCTTTGCTTTCCTTATTCTTCTCTTCCTCCCCATTCTTCCAACAGTGGCCATTTTAACTAAGGGCAGGTTACTAGATCTCCCTTTACTTCCTCGAACTCTGGCACAAGTGGCTAAGACGTGAGACCATGCTCCTGAGATCTCATGAGATTACAGATGAGATTTCCCAGCAATACACTGCTGATGTAAACTACCCAGGATGCAACACTTGGACATGATTAAATCATTTGTGCCAAAGTGGACCAGGAAGTAGAAAAAAATAAATTACAAGTAAAATAAAAATATGTTTGTTTAACTAATGACAGTAAGATGATTTCATATCCGCATGCAGAGCTTCAAAGGGGGTAAAGGTCCACTTTAACATGTGCGTGAAAAATTGCTCCGGTCCTGAGGGGGTTGAGTAGATAGGCTGTGTTTCTCCTAATGTATTTCAGGCTTCATTTTCTTTTGATAAGGAATATACCTTTTAGACATGTTTTAGATCAACTCTTGTTTGAAATTTGTATTATTCAGATAGAGAGCCCCTTTTATTGTCTATTAACTTTAGAATTAACAGTTATATTATATTTATTTTGTAGTTCTGTTTGCTAGATGTTTCATTCTTCCCCTTTCTTGGACATAGTGGGGGGTGACATCCTCATCCAAGGCAACTGTGAACTGGCTGGCATATATCCTGCTCGTCATGCAGCAAATTTGCTATTTCATTATTAGCTTCTTGTATTTTAGGATTAGCCAGCATCTTGATGTTTCTGGTAAGGTAGAAAATGCTCTTTGTTCTTCATGGAGACATCAATTAGATAAATTAAATTGAAAGCTTTCTAGAATTATGACTGCAGAGCTTTCTTTGTTAGGAAATCGTTGTTTATCATATGTCTAATTGTATGTTTTACAGCATCCAGGGCAACAGATGGTCAAGTATTATGGCACATAAGGCAGTTGGTAGCACTTGGGCATATTTGTCTTATAATAACAATGCTATATTGTCACAGGCTCACTGAATGTGTAAGGCTGTCTGACAGATACCAGAAAGTTTACATGATCTGTAATAGTTGCAGTCTAACACATTATCAGATCTTCTACAATATAGTAGAATAGTAATAGTAAGTGTAGGCCGATGGCAACATTGGTTGCACTTAAACCTTGGACATGTTTTTAGATATACTCTACATAAGCGCTCATCATACTGTAACCACATCAATGTGTGTGAAAGTTGAAAAACAACTTTCCTTGTGTTTAGTTAGTAAATATTATTATACAGGATGTATATAGCGCCAACAGTTTGCACAGCACTTTACAATATAAGGAAGACATGAAAGTTACAATACAATGCAAGACACAACAGTAAGGAGGGCCCTGCCCGGGAGGGCTTACAACTTGAAAGGGAGGGGCAAGTGATACATGAGGAGGTAGCTGTGTAGGGATGAATTGTTTGAGAACATGATGGTTGAGTGGTTACTTTGAGGTGGAATAGGCTTCCCTGAAGAGATGACATTGGGTCCTTGGTAGTACTGCATAGTAGTTTTGTTTTTCTGATCTTCATATTTCACTAGATTTCTTTCCACAGTCTCTAATGACATTAAACGTCCACAATGCTGCTCATAGCCAAAGAGCAGGTAATCTTTGCCTGCACTCTAGGTCACACAAAAAGATTACCAAATGTGATTTCTTATTGATGGCATGTTCCCTATTGATCTGTGTAAGATGTAAATATTATTAATAGGTGGAACCTACATCTGTACCAGTACAAAAAAGAACATTTATAACAAAAGTGCAATTTTTAGTACAAACGTACTCTCATTTATATTCCAGGTACTGCTGTATGTTTTGAACACTCCCTTGTTCATATCCATGGTTTTCTAAATGCTGCCATATTCCTCTGACATAGAGGCAGGCATAGTATTACTTCACGGCTTCATGCCCCTTGCCTGTGAAGACATTGCACAGGCACAGATTAGTTGTATATTGGTTGCTTTGGGGACAGGTTTCTCTAAAGCCTGCTTTCATACATTTCTTCTTCCCTGTTCCATGTCTCTCTTTTATCACTGCCTTGCTTTGCATCTCCTATCACTGCATGGCTCTGTCTTCCACCACTGCCTCTGTGTCTGTTGTCACTGCTGTCTCTGCACCTTGTCTCTTATCATTGCCCCTCCATTTTATGTCACTGCCTCACCCTGCTCTGTGTCTCTTATCATTGACCCGCTGTGCACTGCATCTCTTATCCCTTCCTCACCCTGCTCCATCTCTCTTTTCATTGCCCCACTGTTCTTTGCATCTTTTGTCACTGCCTCACCCTGCTCTGTGTCTTTTAACACTGCCCCATGTTCTCTGCATCTCTTGTCACTGCCTCACCCTGTTCCATATATCTTATCAGTGCCCCACTGCTTTGCAGTTGTGCTCTGCATCTCTTGTCACTGCCCCCTTCTCCTCCATATCTTCTATTAGTGGCTAGACTTGTGCGCCGTCAAAAAATTTGTTCTGTTTCGTTTCGGAATATCCGTTATTTCGTAACTGAACTCAATTCGGATTCGTACGAAATACGAATTTTCGTTAGTGGCGGTTATATTTTCGTAACTTTACGAACATTCGTTATGATGAAGTTAAAAAGCAAAATACCTTTGTTAATATTGGAGTGGTAGTTGTTTTTTTTATCCGAAATACGAATTCCGTTAACGGATTCCGGATCCGAATTTCGTATTTCGGATTAAAAAAAAACTACCATCAATCAACTCCAATATATTAACAAAGGTATTTTGCTTTTTAACTTCAATATAACGAATGTTCGTAACGGAACGAAAATACGTCAACGGAATTTCGTATTTCCTGCCTGTATTGTAATGCAACTCTCAGCAGCAGAAGAGAACCTCTGATTGGTCAACCAAAACGAAATACGAATTCCGTTAACGGATTCCGTATTCCGAATTCCGTATTTCGGACTTTAAAAAAAAACTACCATCAACTCCAATATAAATGTACTTTGCTTTTTACCTTCAATATAAGGAATGTTCGTAATGGAATGAAAATACGTCAACGGAATTTCGTATTTCCTGCCTGTATTTGTAATGCAACTCTCAGCAGCAGAAGAGAACCTCTGATTGGTCAACCAAAACGAAATACGAATTCCGTTAACGGATTCCGAATTCCGTATTTAAAAAAAAAATACCATCAACTCCAATATAAATGTACTTTGCTTCTTAACTTTAATATAACGGATGTTCGTAACGGAACGAAAATACGTCAACGGAATTTCGTATTTCCTGCCTGTGTATTGTAATGCATCAGCAGCAGCGGATCCGTATCTCGGATTAAAAAAAAATCTTGTCATGTTGTTCAACCTCATTTACAGGGGTAATATTAGTTCCTGTTTCCGAAAAGAAATTCGGATCCGAAATTCGTTAACGGAATTTCGTATTTCGGATATAATTCGGAAACTGCCATTCGGATTTCGGATGCTCCGAAATTCGGAATTTCAGGAAAATTCGTACGAATTTCGATTCGTAACGAAACGAATCGCGCATGTCTATTAGTGGCCTGTTGTGCTCTGCATCTTTTGTCACTGCTCCGTTCTGCTCCATGTCTATCAGTGGACCACTGGGTTTTGCATCTATTGTCATTTCAAAACTTTGCACCACATCCCTTACAGTGGTCAGCTGTGCTTTGCATCTCTTGTTAGGAAATATGGCGCAGAGTCGGATACTATCGGTGCTTTTTTAATACAGATTT